CACTAGGCTACATCGGCCTCAATGACCAACAGATTTTTCAATTTTAACACCCTTTTAAAAGCTTTACTTGTATGTAACGGAATTTAACTCAATTTTTACACTCTTTAAAAGGTCAGATTAATTCGAAATTTTGCTCACTTGTCCAGGACCGATAACATTGTCCTGATCAGGATCATCAGGACTAACGATTTCCCATTTTCGGATCCCATCCCGCATCTGGCGACTAGTTCCAGGTCCCATTTCCAGATTTGGTGATTAATTCCAGATTCAGTGACTAAGTCCAGATTTGGCGACTAAAATATTTAGTTCGATTAACTATAAAAGGGCGTTTTTTAGTTTTTTTTAAGCTGTAATTTTTTAGAATAAAGATTATACTTCAGTCAGTAGCGCACATAGGAATTTTTCAAGAAGGGGGGAGGGGAGAATTCAGGGTCGAAAGTCCTCCGTTCTCGTATCATGTTTCAATACGCCGCCTAATATTTGAACTCTTTTGATTTTGTCGATTTTCGGGAATAAAAAACAGTAAAAAGTTCATTATTGAATAAATAATTAGCAATAATTAATAAAAACTAATTGTTAATTACAAATACTTAATTAAATTTTACTTACTATTTACATCAGATTAGAATCAATCGAAAAAAAATGGGCTATGGGGGCCGGAACAGGGGACCTCCCTTGCGTGCACCACTTACCTCAATGCTTTCGTCTACGTGTTTTCTAAAATATTTTTCTCTCCCCTCCCCTCATAAAAGTAGTCCGTGTACGCCATTAATATGCATAATATTGATTGGAAGTATTTTTTTTTAGTTCGAAAATGTTTCCCGAATTTCCATCCTCTTTTATCCTTAGAGATGTCAGTGACTCGACAGTCCAGTGTGAGCCTTGCCCTTCTCAAGAAGGCTTCTCCAGGCCAGCCTTCTTCCTACTAGTGTTCTCCAATTCTTAGTTCTTAAAACAAGGAGATCTTTTTCGATGTAGATATTGCCTCAATTAAAAATCTATTTTCACTTAACAATTAAAAAAAAAATGTCTCCATTGCAATTCCGAAAACTTAAATCAAAAATCTTATTCTGAATCAAACATTTAAAAATGCTCTAGAATGCATTGAGGGTGATATACTTAGGCTTAAATCAGCACATTCATCATTAACCACTTATTCTAAATATCCAGCTGGAAAAGCCAGCATGCAGCTGCTTAGCAGCTTTAATCTACACATTTTTTTGTTGCAGTTTTTTTTTTTTCTTGTCATTGGTTGTTCTGTACTGTTTCTGAAGATTTAAAAGGAACCATTTGCACATGTGTATCATATGGGAAAAAAAATCACATATGATCTTAAGTACCGAAGAAAACTGTCAAAGATATAAGTGACGTATAACACCTTCTCTTCTAATGGCAAGTTAATTGAATAACCAGTTGGGGGTCGTTTGGTGTCGATAATCGGCATCTCCCCGCAACCCGACCACTGTTGAAAAAAGCAGTGTCTTTCGATTCCCCTTAATCCCCTCTTCTTGCTATGACACCCGTAACGATGCTTGTACCACCTGCGTAGGAGTGCTACGGCCTTGCGAATCGTGTCATTCGGAAGAGTGAAGGACAATTTGGAGACGTTGACCCCACGCGTTTCACCCGAATTCGATATCTGTGCCATTGATGGAGGAGATTTCTCTATCTCTCTCTCTTTCTTCTTTTTTTTTCTTTATCACCGCTTGCTCCACGTGGACTGGAAAATGCAACAGGTTTTATTTCGTTTGATTGCAGATAAGGTTATTAGTGATAAATAATAAAAAAAATCATCGAATATGCAGGGTCTTTTTTGTTTTCTGTGTAAAGTTATTTTTGACAAATGGTGGACTGGAATTTTATGGATCTAGTCCAAGGGTGGCCAGGGACGTCTTAAGGCAGGGCTGACTGGGCCCGGGCTCAGGGGCTCACCCTCGGTGGAGGCCCCTTTTCGTTCTTGACATTGTCTTAATAAGACCATTATCCGGATAATTTTAATGTGATCAAATATTATACCCGTTAGTAACGCATACAGGAATTTTTCAAGGGGGAGGGTGCAGGGTCAAAAGTCCACCCTTCTTACATCATGCTCCTTTTGATTTTGTCGATTTTCAGGAACAAACTAATTATTGAATAAATAATTAGCATTAATTAATAAAATTAACCATAAATTACAAATATTTAATTAAGTTTTACGTACTATTTACTTAGAATTACAATCAATTGGGGAAAAAATCAAGGTCTTTGTGGTGGTCTGGACCCCAGCCCCTTGTGTGCGCCACTGACCCATACATAATCTCCAAAAAACAGGGAATATCGAACCGCATGTCAACTGGTAAAAGTGGTAAGAATGTATTATTATGTGATGACCGTTGTCCATGTCTAGGATTAGGCTTAATAATATAAACAATCATTCAACTCATTTAGTCGAAATGCGGCCATCGGTCGAAACGGTTTGTACCTAGGTAGTAGCGCACGCAAACATTTTTCAACGGGGGTGTCCAGGGTCGGAAAGTCCACCATTTTGGTATCATGTTCCAATACGCTGCCCTCCATATTCTTTTGATTTTGTCGATTTTCGAGAACAAAAACAATACAAAATTGATTATTGAATAAATAATTAGCATTAATTAATTATTAATAAGAAATACATAATTAAATTTTATGTAATATATACGTAGGATTATAACCACTCAAAAATCAAGGCATGGTGTCGACCTAGGACACCCTTGTGTCGCCACTGTATCTAGGGCTCTGATTGAGTCCGTGCCCATTTATTTGTTACAAATTACTATTTAAACGAGTATTTGAAAATGCATGCTGTATACTGACTACTTTTGAAAATCTCAGGTAGGGCCTAATTTTGCATGGGGGCCCAGGGCCTCAAAAATCTTGATTTCTCCGGGTTCAGGGCCTCAAAGAGTCATAAGACGCCCCTTGGGTTGGCTAACCCGCGGTTCTCGTGACACAATGTGGCACGGCTGAGTTGTAACGGTGGCACTCGAAGATTTATTGAAAAATTAAAAATTGACAAGGTCATAATAAATACCAATTTTTACACTTTTATTAAAATATGGTTATCTCAGATAAAAATGATTTTTTAAATACACTTTATCGCGAATTGCAATAGAAAATTATATTGTAGGAAATACTCCTTCATTGTTGTGTGAGCTGGCTTTTCGAAGGGAGTGCACCTGCGAGATTTTGGAATTTGAGGGAGCGTGTTTCTAAGCCAGCGATACTCAACCTGCGGCCCGCGGGCCACATGCGGTCCACGGAGCATTTTTCAGTGACCCGGGCATGACCCATTCCTCTGAGAAATTCACTTATTTAAGAACAATGTGTTAAAAATCTGGGGTAGGAAATTCTTTGATAAGAAATCAAATATATTGAATTTGCTTTTTTACTGTCGATGTCGTATGGATGCGAAGTGGTATTCTTTTTCTGTTTGTAACGATTAAGATGAGGATAACAGACAACAGTGGCGAAAATTTTATGGTTGGAACCAGTGGCGCTCACTAGTAGTCCTAAGTCCTGGACCCCCAAAGCCCTTTGATTTTTTCCGATTGGTTATAATTCTAAGTATATAATACGTAAAATTTAATTAAATATTTGTTATTAATGATTAAATTTATTAATTAATGCTAATTATTTATTCAATAATTAGTTTATTGTGGTTTTGTTCCTGAAAATTGACAAAATGAAGAATAGCATGATACAAGAATGGTGAACTTTCAACCCCGGACCCCTTTGAAATATTCCTGTGTGCGCTACTGGTTGGAACTAATTTTTAACAATCTTTTATACTTTTCAAGCGAAAAATATTCGAACGATTTGGAGATTGACTGTTTCGCCGTGAAAAACAAACATGGATCATTACTTGTTTGATTTGTCTGAAAGTTGTATTTAAAAAACAATAAACAGGAATCTCTCCAATGACATTTTTCCCTCTAAGATCTCTTCAGAGGATAAAGGGGTTTTATTAAATATTTCTGAAACAGCAAAAATTTTTTTTCCCGTGGAAATGCGCAGCAGTAAAAAAACACCTATGAATTTTGTTATTTTATTGGAATCTTTTGAAACCGTTTACTGTCAAAAATTGTAAAGGGAGTTTTTTTAAATTCTTTTAATTTGGGTGTTAGTGACAAAAAAAAAATAAAAAAAAATAATAAATTAAAAAAAGAAAAACAGGAGTTATAAATTTTGACTTTTCCACATTTTAAATTTCCAATGTTATCTTAGTTCTAAAGCATTTCTATCCCCCCCCTTTTTTTGCGGGTGTGAAGAGCAAATATGTATGCGGGCCCGTGAAAAACTAAATATGTATGCGGCCCCCAAAGGTGAATGTATATGCGGCCCAGCAGGAAAAAAGGTTAAGTACCCCTGTTCTAAACGTTTGAAAGAAAACAATGTACTACCAAGGGCGTGTAATTGGTAATGATTTTTGAATAAGTGAGAAATCAAAATTGAATGTTGATTCTTTAGCTGCAACACTTACCGTAAAATTCAATATGAAGCACATTTTTTTGCTCCGAAATTTCCCATACATTAGAAAATGATATATTGACAAAAAAAAATTCATTCAATTGGAAAATACTCGTTTAAGTAAATATTAGAAGGTTATATTAATGTATTCTTGTTTGAGTTAATAAAATGTTTCATACATTTACGTCGTAATTTTTTCTTAAATTTTTTGTCCTCCTTTTCACTGCAAGAAAACCTTCACTGTCCTTATTTAAATATACATTTTATTCATCTTGCGTCCTATGAAAAGGGCACAGACTCATCTGCCGAACTTATTTTATATCTAAAAATGTAAATTGTTTTTTTTATATAAAAATAAGTACACGCGCAATAAGCGATCAAATGCTCTTTTCTGCCATAAAATAACAATAAAGAGCAACTGCATAAATATCAAAAAGATAAAATAATCTTAAAAACAGAAAAGAAAACCACACAGTTTTTTTGGGGAAATTTCTTTTATCTCACGTATCATTCGAGCCACCATGGGCTCGGGGGTTGAGCATTTGGTTTTTTAAACCAGGGGTCGTGAGTTCAATCCTCACTGGTGGCTAAGATGTGTATTCTTTTACCCTTAGAATTCTATAGCGTGAAACATTTTGGCATAATTTCAAAATTTATTCCCTTTGTATTCATTATTATTGTGAGCGTTTTTTTATTTTTATTTATTCGTTTATTTTTTGAAATAATTGATTCATAATTCTGAATGTTGACACAAAACAAGCAGGGATAATTATTATTTTCCCTTTAAATTGCCCCGGGTTGGGGGGCAAGGGGGTTGACCTTCTTAAAGTCTAAATTTGCGGGTTTGGCCCCAGTTGGTGGGTTTTCATAACGTAGAAAATCGATAGTGTCCCTGTCATATGACTGTGCGGCATGTTAAAGATACTTAGAGTGCCTGCTTGGCTTGGGTTCTCTCGGCAAAATTAAATTCTTCGTACAACTTTGCATCGTCAGAGCTTAGGTGTCTCCCTCTGGAGAGGAAACTGGGCGTCAAAATTACATTGCAGCAGTTAGTATCCGCCGATATGGTGCCGCACTAAAAAGAGATACCAGCTCCTGGAGAATGTACTGAGTCTGCAATGGTAAAACATCAATCCGCGCAGCCCCATTCGGGGGGGGGGAAGAAGTTTGCTAGAACATCGATTGAATTTAGCGTTAATAAATAATGTGTGTGTGTGGGATTACATACACTTGAACCTTTTATCTACCGCATTTTGATTTACTGCAGTTTTTTTAATGCTATTTTTTTTCGGTCACTACATTAAAAATTAAGGGATATACATAAATACAATACTCAACTTTGGGAAATTTAATCCCTAATAGCTAATTAATTAAAAAAAGATAATTAACTTTTAAAAAATTATAAACCCCGTTCCCCTTAAAATAAATAGGAAAATCGTTTTCAAAGGTCTTCATTAACATACAAACAAAATAAGACACTTAAATTTTGATATAAACTATTTATTGGGAAAAAAATAATAATCTTTGCAATGCACTGAAAACGCCGTCAGCGAAAATAAATTTCTGATAAAAAAACTATTCCCCTTTCCCCGCTAAAAATACTCATACCGTGCTGCCCTTATGTTTTGGGAAAAAAAGGATTTAAAAAGAATATTCCTGCTATATATATAAAAAGTATCGTCAGAATATTCGTAAAAAAGGATTATTCTAGGGGAAAAAAAGTGGGGTGGGTACTAAAAGAATACCGTCGGTAGATAAAGGATTAATGTGAATACACTTGGAATTTATACATATGTGGATATTAATTCAGTTATATTTAATTATGTTTATTTTTCTTTTCATAAATGTTAAATTTAATTTTAATTTTGATCTTAATTTTTCTCTCATCTGTCATGATCCTAAAGGTTAAAAAAAAAAAAAATCTCCTTTTTTTCCCCTCTACTAAAAAAAAAAAAAAAATGATGTAGTTTTCTCCTGAAAGAACAAATATATCTTTTAATCTCATAACTGATACAGTTTTCATTTTTGCAGGGGGAATTGTCATGGAATATTGAAATTCAAAAGTAGTACGCGTTAAAATAACACAAGTCTTAAAACTAGAAACATTTTGAGTACAAAACTATAAAGAAATGAAATGGACCTAGTGACCTGAATACCGAAAAAAATCATATACCACACCACGCACAATCTACTAAAGAATTGATTTTTCCATTTGATATAATATCCACATTTAAACAGCGAGACGTGTACGCGTTAAAAATGCTGTGATTGCAAATATCTTTCATACATAATGGATATGAAAAGAAAAAGATTTCATCTTTCTATCAGGTTATTAGCCATACAGACTCGTTCACCTAGATTCAAAAGCATTTCGTTTGTCTGGTAGGAACGTGCTGCAAATGTTTCAAATCAATGTTCAGGATTTATTTAAATAGGAATTATTTGTGGTTGTGGTGTCCAGTGTACGATTAAAGACAACTTTTTTTTACTAATATTAGGTAGTGATTCTCACAAGAGGGTGGGGAGACCCCGGGTCGGGACCCCCTCCCCCCAAAGCCCTTGTTTTTTCGATTGATTACAATCCTATGTATATAGTACGTAAAATTAATTACCATAAAATGTGCGCACTTTTAACTCAAAAAAAAAAGGTTTTTAAAATTAAGAGTGCGCGGTAAGGGCCCGGGGTTTTAAAAAACAATAGCATTTTAAAAATGACAAAAGAAATGAGCACAGTGGCGCACATAAGGGGGGGCCCTGGGGTCCGGACCCCCCTCAAAGCCCTTGATTTTTTCCCTTGGTTTTTAATTCTAAGTATATAATACGTAAAATTTAATTAAATATTTGTTATTAATGATTAATTTTTTTAAATTAAACAATTATTTATTCAATAATTATTTTTTACTGTGTTTTTTTCCCTGAAGATCGACAAAATCAAAAATAGCATGATACAAGAATGATGAATTTTTTCCCCCGAACCCCCTTCTTCGGAAAAATTCCTGTGTGCGCTACTGGATGAGCATAAATATTTTTTTACTTCTATATGTATCGAAGTACTGTTTATTTAAAAGAAATGACTTGCTTTATGAACTAAAAGAGTAGTAGTTCTAGAAGAAAACTATTTGATCAAAAAAGTCTGGGATAATACCTCGAATAAATAACTTCAAAACATACGAGCAATGTATACTAATATTTCAGATTTCTTCAAGGGGGTGCCGCAAGGGGAATATCCCAAAAAATTAAAAATTAACCTTGAAAGAAAGGTATGCGTTATACGCTGGATTTTACGGTAAGTATATGTTTTAATAATTTTTTTATTTTTTAAATGCTGATTATTTATTCAATAAATTTTTTATGTTTTTTTTTCCCCCAAAACAAAAAAATCGAAAGAATATGTTGGATATTCATGATAGGGGGTAGAATTTGACCAGTGTTTCCCCCAAAGTGGTCTATAAAGACCGAAGGGGCCCACGTCGTAAAAAAAAAATTTTAGGGGTTCATGAGGTGTAAATGGTGGTCACGATAGTGGCTTTCATTAAAACAGAGGGATTTTAAATTTTTAAAAGAAAATGTAATCAAGTGGAAACCAGATTTTCCCTTTTTTTAAAGATTTATTTACTAAATTTAATGAGGCTAATTTGCAGTTATATTTTATTAAAACAAGCAGATATTTTTTTAAAAAAAAGAAACCACGTTTCATTTTTCTCTTGACAGAATTGTTAAAGGGTAAAATTTGGACATCACGAATTTTCAGTTGATCATTTCGTCACAGAAAATCCCCCGTTTTAAACTACGTTCAACATTAAAATCCCTATTCAGGTTTTAAAATTTGGGGTTTGAAACGCTTTGACCAGGGAATACCACAAGTCAATGAATCATATGGTCACATTGACGAAAATAAATGTCATATTTCAGGAGGAATTGATTGGTATAGGACTAACGAATATCTTAAAGAAAAGTTTAAGATGGATGTCAAAATTTTTTTCTTTAAAAAAAAAACAACCCCTTATTTATCCGAATTATGGAAAAGAGATTTAGTGTAAAACTCGCCAAGAATTATGCTAAATGTTAAAATTTGCTATTGAAGGGCCAGATCCCCATCTCTCCCATTAAAAAACATTTTTTTTTTGCTGTAGTTGTTTTATGTAACAGTTATTTTATATACTATTAAATTTTTATTTAATATTAACATGTGTTTCTTAAATTTTAAGCTTTATATTTCACAAAAGTTAAAAATTTAAATCTTTTAAAGTAAATATATCTATACAAGCTGTCAAAAAGTTATTTATAAGTTGATAAACGTACACAAAAATTTAACATTAGGTAAAAAGGGGTTTTACCCAAAGGCAAAAAAACATGGCAAGGGGTCTAAGACAAAAAAGTTTGGGAACCTCTGCTTTAGACCCTGGTGCCTCCTCCCCCCCCTTTCTTGAAAAATTCCTGTATGCGCCACTGATATTAGGTATACCATATTTTGGGGCCCCAACCCAGGATGCATATTTTTGAACTTACTTATTGCATAGAATTTTATTGAAACATTAAACTTTGTTTATTCAATTGTATTTTTCAGAAATGGTTTGTTTATTTTAATTCTTCTTTTTCTATTGACACAACAGCCCTGGGTGGGCCAAGGCCTTCTGAAGAACCCTTTTCCATTCCAATCTCCGTTTAGCACACAACCAGTGCCGGTTAATCCATTGGGAAGGGGCAGGTGCCCAGGGGCCCGGAAAGTCACGAAAGAGCCTGGATAAACTGGACTTAACCAGCTTTCCTGGTTAAAACGATCCACCCCCTGAAAGGGGGCCCGCCTCCCCCCGGGCCCAAAAAAAGGGTTTAAAACCGGGAAAATTTTGCAACAGTTACGGAATATTAGGTCAATTTGTTTCCAAGTGAGGGGGGGTTCTGTTTTTATTGAGTTGAGAACGCAAGGTTCGAATTCAAAACGGAAGGCAACGTTTTGAGCATA